GCGCCATAACCTGTCCCTGAACAAGTGTTTTGAGAAAGTGGAGAACAAAATGAGCGGTACCTCCCGCAAAGGCTGCCTGTGGGCCCTCAATCCAGCCAAGATTGACAAGATGGAAGAGGAAATGCAGAAATGGAAGAGGAAGGACTTGGCTGCCATTCACAGGAGCATGGCTAACCCAGGTAGGACTGGAATAGGTCCCCAGGAAGCTGGGTTCTTTGGCCAGGAAGGCATGAATTGTAAGAAGTCATTTCCGTGGAAGAGGGGTGGACGGAATGGGTCTTGCAGCCAAAATGTCCCAGCTTCTTCCTCCTGAGCTGTGACAAGTCCCATGCCACTGCCCAGAGAACTGATAGTGCTAAGTTACATAACGCAGCTGGGCAAAGTTGTTACTGGCTTTAGGTATGAAGCCAATCTTGCTTCTGGCTCCCTGCAGTGAAAGGCAATGAAAAGGGAAGGTTTGACTTCTTCTGCTCAAGAAACCAAGCCCTATTTAGCGCTGGAAATCAGAGCATGCCTGGCAGAGCCCTGGCTGTCCCCGGGCCCTCCTTGTGTAATGATAATTGCATGTGCTCAGTCTTTTCTTGTCTCTTGGGGGCCGGCGGTGCTCATCTCCCATGCAGAGGAACTAGACAAGCTAATCACAGACAGACCTGAGAGCTGCCGGCGGCCGAGCAAGCAGGCTGAACCTGAGGCCTCTACCCTGAGCCACGTGGCAGTGGCCCAAAGCCGCATCTCCCTCTCACAGCTGCAGCCACCACCCATCATGACGCTGTCCCTGCAGTCCATTCCACTGCATCACCAAATCCAGACCCAGGCCCGCATCGCCCCAGGCTCACCAGCACCTGCCCAGACACCACCTCTCCACGCTCTGCCCGACATGACCCGGAGCCCCCTCCCTCATCACCCAATGAGCCGCGCACCAGCCGACTTCCTCAACGTGACCACTGACATGAACGCTGAAGTGGACGCGCTCGATCCGAGCATCATGGATTTTGCATTGCAAGGTAAGCGGGGAGCTGGATGGAAGGCAACCCCTAGAGCGCTCAGTGGTCTTCACTGGGACTTAGCCGGCTCCTGGGCACAAACCATTCCAGGACTGGGCTCTTGCCAGAGATCCCAATCTTCACTGTGGTGCTGCATTTGGGGGCACTTTCTTTTCCATGCATTCTTCAGCATACTTTCCCAGTGCTGCAATGACCAGAGAGGGTTGAGGCTGAGGGAGGACTGGGTTTCCTGGTGCTAGCACAGACCCAAGGGTCATGGTACAAGGTAAGAACCTGAGTAGACTGGGATCACCCAAGTCCTCACTCTGACCCCAGCAACCTTTTTGCCTCCTTTTGTTCTCTGAAAAAAAGGAGAATTTCTCCACCTCAGGGGACTGCTGTGAAGACGAGCTGACTAATGCTCACGCAGTGCTTTAGGAAAGCACGGCGTCACAGCTACAGCCATGGGAGGGGGAAAGGCCCAGGTTAAAGCAGGTTAGGAACATTAGCTACAGGCCGGTCCTTTGAACCCAGAATATGCCACTTCATCCGAGTGCCTTCACACCAGGAAGCTTAAATTGTTCATGACCATTGAAGCTTTCCATTTTACTTACCATTTTTCCCTCTGAACTCAAACCAGTCACCGGCCGATATGCTGATGCTGCTGCCTTTTGCTCTTGCAGGTAACCTCTGGGAAGAAATGAAAGACGACAGCTTCAGCTTAGACACCATGGGCGTCTTCAGCAACTCCCCGCTTCAGCTCTCCGACTATGACCTGGGCACTGCTGGCCTCACCCCAGTGTCCAGTGGCAGTGACCGCTCCTTCTCAGACTTACAGGTGACAGGTCTGTACACTACGTACACCACGCTGGACAACGTGTCCTCGTCACAGTACATGAACACCCAAGGCAACAAACCCATCGCTCTGCTTTAAGCCTCATGCTGTTTAGCAGACCTAAGCAACTTGGAGACCCCTTGCCCTGGGGAGCCTTAGAGTATGATTAAAAAACTGTAAGGCTTGCAACATATCAGGGGTTTACCAGGACACTCGGTGCGATGCCAAAATAGACCAAGAGCAGCTGAGCTTGTGAAGACATCACCTCCCCTTTCATGTCACCAAGGTCAAGGAAGCATGGTGACCAACTTGACAAAAGATGGAGGAGCTGACAAGAAGGAGCATGGAATGCACCTGTCGGCAAAACCTTCACCAGAATCATTTAAACACAGCCGAAAAACCACTCGTGAGAATCAAGTCCTCAGCACTGACATCAACACCGTTTGGCCACTAGATGCCTACAACATATTGTTCAATCAGCTCCTAGTTAGATTTTAAGAACCTACCTTATAGTTGTATCTTTTTCTCAAATTGCCAAATAACCATAGCCAGCAAACATAGATTACATGCAATGGCTGGAGACACTTGCAACCCTAAACACTTTGCTGACATAACTGTCTTAATTTATTGATAGGGGGTAGGGGAGGGAGGGACATACAGAGCTGAAGTTTTTACTGTATTTACTCATATACAACACACACCATTTCTCTTGAAAATTAGCCCTCCAAAATGGGGAAAACAATATCCATGCCAGAATAGAGGCACGAGGACATGGACATAGCTGCTAGGGGGGTGGCTCTGTACTGGGCTCCTGGCTGCATGGAGGAGAGGCGGACTCCAGTCCTTACAGCCGCAGTTGCACAACTAACAGTTTAACCCTTTCACAGCTGCTGCCAAATTGGCAGTAGCTTTTAGCTGAAATGGATTCTGCCCCCACTCCATGTAGCCAGCATTCAGCCACGGTGAGCCTGTGCTGTGGCAGGTAGGATTCTGGAAAAGCCTTTTGTTCTTCCTTCCGCTTTCCCAGAACAAAGTGCACGTCTTGTATGAGGCAGCGCGGCATATAAGCAAATGCAGAAACCAAATCCAGGACAACTGTTATGTCTTGGGTTATTAAAAAAGCCTGACCCCATGAAGGACGTAGTATGACCAAACTATTAAATTGATCACTGGGTAGAAATTGTAGCAGTTAGCCCTTTATCCTAGGATTTAAAAAGAAATAGATTAGGTTTGTTACAATAGATCCTGTGTATCGTGCTTCTCTTGATTCTTGTGCTAGGCAGTATTATTATTTGTAAATTTATTTATTTATTGTAATGAAGAGAAAAAATGATGTAAAATGAGCACTGTTCAGTTTTTAAGAAACACTGCAATAACCCTGTTTTGCATTAACTAAATTATTCAGAATTGCAAACGCAATGTTTTAACTCACTTTTCTTACACTTCAGTTTCTTTTTGAAAGCCTCATTTAAAACAAGCACTTTTGATACTGTGAAATATCTTTTTTTTTAAAAAATCAGAGACCAAATATTTTTAACTGTACAAGGACCATCCGTATTTTGCCTTCTGACAACCGATTTGTATTTGGTAATGTTTTCAAACGGAATTTGAAGGAGTTCAACCATGAAGAGTGAAGGAAAGCAACTGCTAAGTTCCACTTGCATGTAGTGTCTAGGTTACTTATATCTCTGTAACTGTGAAAGACTATTTATTTTTTATGTTTTGCTTATGACTGTGGTTCAACTGCATTTTAACACTCCTTTGTTATTTCAAAGCATTGCATCTACTTATTTTCAAAAGAAAAAATTCCCGGCTTGAAATTATGACTAGGGATGCTCTGACAAAGAAAACCTCGCCACTTGTTCAAGTCTATGTGCTGAAAAACAGCAGGAAAATCAAGTTGTACAGTGCTTGCTAAATTCTACAAACCAATCGACTGAGAAGGTGTTGAAGGCACAAGCCTCTCCCACTGAAACGGCCAATGGTATTTTCTTGTTGAAAGTCAACATTGTGAAGATTAAACGTTCTACCGACTTATGCGTATATCTCTTTTCAAATATGCACATAAGTACTAACCTCTTTGGGAATGGCGCGATGCTCCATGCCGACGTTTATTGTTTAAAGCAGCCCCGTTTTGAAAACCAAGCAATGTGAATATGGATCATTTGATGTGACTGTATCTTTTTAAGATGTTTTAAAATTTTTTTTTAATAAATAATAAATATTTCTTAGTGCGAACCTTGGGTTATTCTAGATGCGCCGCGGTGAAGTTAGTCTGGGGTGAACAAAGCCAACCTCAGAATGGCACTTGGCAGCTGAGTATTAAGAAGCAAGAGCCCACAAACGGCTATCTGAAAACCAACGGAGGGGAAAGGGAGTGTGGTTTTCCCATGATTTGCGAATGTTGACAGTCATCATGCACAGGCAGAGCAGCAGCCTCTTCCGGTCTTGCAGTCCGATAGTGCAGTCCTGCAGCCTCTACTTTTCACGTAGCATTAAAAAATAAAAACCCTGGAGCAAAGAATCTTCCCTGAAAGCCCTGGTCATTTTTATTTGGAGCAGCATTACTGCGTTTTCCCAGCTTCTTACACAGTGAGTTTGGCAACGGACACATTTTCCCCTCCGTGACACAGCACGTTTCTGAACACCTGTCAAATCCAGACACACATGAAATGCCTCTCCTGCCTGCTGTCCCCCTTTTGCCCTCCTCTGCCCAACCAAGTACAAAGTACGTCTTCCAAGGAAGACCTCGCCACTCCCTGCACAGCTGACATGTCTCCCATTACGTGTCAGCTGCCCTGTGCTTCTCTTTGGTTTTATCCTAAAACTGCCTAACAGGAATTGTGATACTGGCCAGCAGTGGCTTCCCCAACACTGCATTTAAACCAGGTAACTGGTTTCCCCCCTCAGTTCCCTGCAGATAGTACATAAGAGCCTACCTAAGATTGACAAAGCTCAGGCGATCAATCCATCGCAGTGAGACATGACATGCCCAGGACGGGCGGTTGTGCAGCTCCCAGCACCCAGAGTATACTTAACCTGAGTGTTTTTTTTTTAAATTAGTAAAAGGGTGGGTTGCTTCTCTACTGTAGCTACATTTAAGCAAATTGTTCAGTGCCCTGGCAACTGTTGCACAATAGAAACCCCAGCCAAGACCTTCCTATGATCTGCCCGCTCTGTACAATAGAAAACCCAGCCAAGACCTTCCTATGATCTGCCCGCTGCTTTTATTGCAGTACAACGTTTGGGAATGGAATACTTGAATTCATGTAAAAAAATAAGGCACCTGTGTTCGTGGGAAGTTGACTGAGGGGGGACACTGGAACAAACCCAAGATCCCACATGAGACTTAAAAAAAAAAAAAGGCCCGGACTCCAAACAAAAGCAAAAGGCAGGTTGAAAACATATGGCTCTTGAAATCTTCCTGGAAGTCTTTGGCTATGGCCTGGTAATCATTTAGGAATCACTGCCACGACTCCCCAGTGGCTTCTGAGTGGTTGAGTTTGATCATTTGCAACACCCCATTTGATACCATTAGTTAAAGCTTAGGAGGTTTCCTTACGCTAATGGGTGGTCGCCAATGTGAAATGCTAGTACAAAAATATTTCCCTTTCAGGTACTTTATACATATACAGAATTGGATCTCTATTCCCAGCTCCATCCATTCTTTGCAGCTAAGTGCATCTGAACTTTTAAGGATCACAAACTGCGCTTACCAGAAACAAATTTAAAAGATTCCCAATTTGTTTCTAAAATGAACTGGGAGCCTGGATGAAGCAGCAGCCACATGCTGGGGACACCAGCGGATCTGGGGGGAATTCAAATTCTGCAAAAAGATGCCACTGCAATGGATTATTTTTCTTAAATGATGCCCACGAATACAGTGTGCACACACGTTTGGAAAAAAAGTCTGTCTTAGTGGTATACAATGCAATACCAGCACCCTTTAGGTAGGCACGCAGTCGGAGTCTGGGACTTCAGCACTAGGGTTGAAGACAGTATCTGGTCTTGAAGGAGCAGCTTATCGTTGTGCACTTCCTCTCCCCCGACAGTGACTGCCCCTGCAGCCCCTTGGTCAGGGGGAGTTGGGGTTCTCTATTGTGGAAAAGAGCCGAGCGAGCTGGGCCTGCTGAGCTTGGCTGATGTGCTGGGTCATGTGGATGATGCAGTCCATGGTGATCTCGGGGTTCGCTTGCACCACACTGCAGGGCAGACCAGAGAGGAAAGAGGAGGGCAGTGTTATGGTTCAGCATATTACAAGCTAAGAGCCAAAACTGCTGGAGTCCCTGCCACATGCCATACTCTAAGCGAGGCCATTTATACCCATCAGAAGCAGGTTAATTCTGTTGCTTTTATTCACACACCTCCCATCTACTGTCGGCAGGGACAAGGAGGGCCCCCCTCCACTCACCTCTGGACATGTTTGAGGGCATAATCGCGTTTCAAGTACTTGATGTTTTCCTGAATGGCTGATCGGATGCCGTCCTCTTCCTGCAACTGCTTCTCCAGCCATTCTACCACCACCTGGTTGTTGTCCCAGAGATAGCCCTATAAGAAGTACCAGGAGTAGCTTAGCATGCTCGTGTGGGTGTACGCACATCCAAGAGAGAAGCCATCCTACAAAGCCATCTGACCTACTTCCCTTCTTGCTCCCTTTGCAAGTTCTCCTTGTAACCCTCCCCCTCTCTGCCCGCCTCTCCCCAGCACTCCAGCTTCTTTGGCGCTAGCTAATTATTCAGGTTTTTGGGGCTAATAAATGGCAGAGACTCTGGGATTATTCTCTCCACTCCCAGATGTGCTCGCCTACAGTTGTTCAAGCCAATACTTAGTTTCTATTCCAACCGCCTCCTCTTTTTGGCTCACTCTGAATTACTCGATCCATTCTGCTATTCCTAAATTCTTCCAGCTCAACTACTTCCACAGACCTGCTCTTCATTCCCTCTGCTCAGTAATTAAAGATGATGTGAAGTAAAACTGGAGCTAAACAGAGACTCCAGCAGCACACTGCTAGACTCCTCCCTCAACTCCATAAATTCCTCTTTCTCCTGGCGCTCAGCCTGGGGTCAGGCAACCCATTTTCTGCCATCACGACAGCACTGGTGACAGGCAAAGGGAGTTCAGCTTGAGGAGTAAGTCTTAGCAAAGCTGTATTAATTGCATGGCTTGACTCGGAACAGCTCATTTTTCCACCCATAATTTCATCAAGCGCTCAAGTTGATCTGGTAAGATATAGTCTTAAATTCATGTTGTTTCCTTTTGGGGGGGACTCTGTCTTCATTTAAATGCCCCTACTTCTATTTCCCCGAGTGGTGGTTCTGGCATCTTACTGGGTAAAGAAACGACTTGCCAAGATGGCCAGTTTGCACATACACTTCACCTTGCACTTGGCATCCTCTTAAAAATTTCTCTAAAGCCCCCAAAAACGAAATTCTAAGACCAACACCAGCCTCCGTGTTGCTTGAAAGCAGAGGCGTGAAATCCCATCTCTCTCCAGCGCGAGACCCTGCCTCACTCTAAAGCGATTAACAATACGACATACTTCTTTTTTTTTTCCTTTTGGTCTGTTCTGTTTACGTTTGATCACTCGCGTCCAATTTGAGTCCCCTGATTTGAAGAGACAGAGTCCCAGATTCCGCGCCCGCTCCCTTGTCCCTCAGTGCTCAACGGGGCACGACTGTCCCAAGCTCCAGGACAACAGCTCCAGCCACACATTCAAGCTGAGCCAAAGCGAGAACGCGTGGGATGTTTGACACTGGGGGGTGCCGCACGTGCTGAGGCAGCGGAGGACAAGCCAGCAGTGGGAGCATCTTGACCAGCCAAGACAGAGAGATACCTTCGCCGCCCCTTCCATCTCCATGAACCACCGGCGCAGCATGGACTGGATGTGGATGTGGCTGAGCTCGCTGTTCGCCTCCAGGATCTCTGCTTTCACCACCTCCTCCAGCAGCAGGCGCCGCAGACGCCAGTATAAGAATGAGCGGGAATTCTTCCATTCCAGGATATCCTGGTGGGGCAGAGG